GTGTAATCTTGTTTTTGTGTAAAGGGTATGTGCGGCTTGAAGAAATATGTCTGTGAAACTAGTGGCTAGCAGAGGCTGTGCTGATGTACGAGTGAGAGTAATGGTGTTGAGCCACGTTGCAGTGTTCGAACGTTTCACGTAACTGTGGTTGTCGTTTAGGTAACCTAAAGGTGCACATGGGTACTCACATGTGGACCAGCACTAGTCGCAGGGGCAGAAGAATATTCGACTCGTCGGTGGCAGCTTTACCTTCTCTGGTTACTTCGGCTTTCGGGTTGCCAGCTGTAAGCTCACACGATGCCTTCGAAAGCTTTGCCGACCGCACGGACATGAACCGTAGGCGCAGCTTCAAGGACGCTAAAGACGCTCCTTTCAAGGACGGTCAGTTGGTGTCAGCCAAAATTGGTGCGTCTGAAACAAAGTCGTCTTTCGTGGACAAACGTGATACCGATGACAAAATGAAATCCGATCACGAGCGTCAAGTATCATCAAGCAGCGGCGAAGAGTTGCCGACCCGTGTTGCGAACGGTACCAGAATTGTGTCCAGTTGCTCGGCGAATCAGTTTCTGTCTGCACTTTCGTGTTCAAACGCGTTCTCTCTGAACGGTGGCCAACAGTCTAACTCACTGTCCACTACCCCGGCCGAAGCGTTCAACTTCCAGACGTTGTTTTCGTCGGACTACACGTCGTTAACGCTGTCGAATTACGGTAACACGGTCGGCTCGATGAACCCGTTCACGAACGTGTCGAATGGTCACAGCCCGTCGAACATGCAGGCGATGCTGTGGATGTGGAGGAACGTTTGTTCGGTTTGCCATAAGGTTTTCGGTTCACAGAGCGAACTCGAAGACCACCTAAAAGGTCACCTTGTTCATAGCACGTCCAATAAGCAGACTACTGTACAGAATGCTACTTGACTTTGCGTTGCACAGCAGTGTGAATTAACTGTTTTCTGAAATGCGTGTACGCATCTGTCTCTCTATTCTGTTGTCTCACCGCGGAAAGATTTCGCAGCTCCCGGACCGTGCAAATGCGGCTACGTTCATTTTAAAAGATTTACATTCGTTTCATTGTTTCTTGACGTTTATAAATCGTGTTTTCGGTGCCGAATTTTTCAGTCCTTTTTTGTTTTTTAATGTTGCTTTTAGGCTTGGATGATCTTCCAGTCAGTTTTTTTATCTTGCGGACATTTGTATTGTCCTTTCTGTGCACTTACTCAATTAAATTCATATTTAATGTCGAATTGGCGATGTTGTTTTATTTCGTCGTCTCGTTTTGAAAACTCGCATATGACGTACTGGCTCTTCCTTTGACGCGTAACAGCATCTGACGGCAACACCCTGTCTTCAAATCATCATCACTTCGAAACGAATTTCCCTGCGGCGTGTTCCTAATGTGCCCTAGGGTTTCGCATTTGATGCAATAACCATAGCCGTAAAGGTAGGTGACGCTTTAACCGGCACTATCTCATAACCGAAACTCTAGATTTCGTTCGAGGCAACTGGTATCTCATTTGGATTTTGCTGCTAAAATCCGTTAGCGTGCTCGCGTTCGTACGGGACTTGTTAAGAGGCGTGTATGGCGAAAAAATGCCTGAGATGTGCTTCTGCGAAGCTGTGGAATGGTCTTGGATTAAATGAGCCAGCTAAGGTACACAGGAAACGAGTTTCACTGGCGGAACACTGCAGCAATGGGCTACTTGAAAGCAATCATGAAAAGCCCAATAAAGAGACAGCTGCGGAAAGTACCAGAGGAGGTGCTCTTAAATTTACCGCGTACGCAACGGTTAGCACTGGGCAAAAGGATCAATTTTAGTCATGCATATGATTTTTGAAACTTATTTCGCTTTTGTCTTCAATAAATTGACACTTCAATGGTTCTAAACCCAATGAAACAGACGGATAATAGTTTCTATTA